CCGTGAGGGGTTTAGGATTTCTTGGAATTCTAGGATTTGTTGGAAAGGGTTGTGTCCCTAGAAAGAGGGAGGAGCTCCCTCAGGGCCAGCCCCCAAATCCCAACTTGCACCTTAGGTCTGAGTTCGAGCCTTCCCCCTGTTTGGGGAAGTGGACTGAGAGTTTATGCCAAGCCATTGGCTCTCTGTGGGACTCCTTTGGGTAGATCGGACCTCCTGAGGAGATGCTGAGGGTTCAAAGGCCTGGTGTGGTCTGTGGTCGGAAGGGCTGAGGCATCAGTGCATCGCTGTGGATCATTGAACCTGCATGTCCTGGGGGTTGGGTGGGGGTGGGAGGGAGGATGCTGAAGGCTGTGGCTCCACTTCCTTCAAGGGCAGAGAGAACCAAGGTGTTTCAGCACTGAGATCTGGACAGCGCCCTTCGACCGGGCTGGAGGTGCCCTAAGGGGTGGTGTACACACCTCTCAACCGGAGTGTGGGTCTGGCAAGGAGGCCAGGGAGGGAGCTGGGTTCTGGCGCGCTGACGGTTCAGGGCCAGACAGGAGGCAGATCCTGGTAGAGCCGCCCCAGAGCAGCGTGCCAGGCATGACCCTGGGGCCACTCCATTCCTGTGCAGGTAAGAGTGCGCCCCATGTCTACCCCTTCCATTGCCTAAGTGCAACACGGTGTTGAACTGGGTATTTCTGCTAAGAATCTAAGACAGCAGAGGTCAGATACCTAAACTGAGATGTGAGGCAGGCCGCCATGCAAAATTGACCCCCCCGGAAAAAAAGTGGCTGAGAAACTGTTGGGGGACTCTTACACCTCTCACCTATAGTGAGAGCATCAAAGCAGTCCTGGAAAGGACTGAAAAGGATTTCTAAGCTTTTGGAAAGATGGTGGGGAGGTGGTTTGTCCCACAGATCAAACCTAGTGACAGTGATTTTAACAGGCTGCCTGGACAGTTTGATATGGGTCCCCTGGTGTTTGGGGAGTACTCAGTTGTCTGATGTATATTTTTGCTCCCCTGGTGGTCCAGCAATTTAGACTCTGCACTTCCACTCCAGGGAGTGTGTGTTTGATCACTGGTCAGGGAACCAAGATGCCACTTGTTGCGTGGTGCGGCCAGAAAGTAAAAAGGTATCTGCACGCTTTTTAAAGCACAAATTTGGGGGCAAAAGAAGCAAGAATTCTTCCCATGATCGAGACATGCTCTGTGTGCCTGGGGTAGGGGATAGGGGGCTGGGAGTTTGGGGAAAGGTCCTCTTAGGTGCCATCTGAGGGGTGGCCTGGAGGGCTGATCACATCTCCTAAAAGAGCATCCTAAAGGCTTCCCCAGTAGAGAGCAACTAGCTGAAATACTATTTTCTCCAGGGCTAAGTGAAATCCAGGAGATGGAGCCTCAGCCCTGAGGGAGTCTCTTAAAATTCCACCAAAGTCAGAGAGAGTAGGGTGCTGCTGAAGATACTGACTGTGAAGAGTTCCCTGTACCTCTGTTTATCCTCCCTTCTCTGCTCTGACTCAGAAGTGCTCCGAGAAACTTCAGCAAGACCAGGAGGGAAGCAGCTTTAACTTTAATTCATGTTCAGAGACTTGACTGTTACATAGGATGGTTGTAATCACAGCCTGGGGGAGTGTTTCTTATGTGAATTTGTCTCTCACTCTCTTCACCCACTTTCATTCCATCATCCATGAGAAGGAGAACTAGAAACTGAACACCTCTTTGAGGAATGATAGGAAACAGTCACTTTATGATCTCAACTCACCTTGTACATGTTTAGAACACCCTCTGAAACAAATGGCCAGTCCCATTTGCTTCCAGTCCTGATTCCTTGGAGCCAACGCATACAGCACCGGTAGCTCAGCATCTATCAGGAGAGCATCTCCCTGGCCAGGTGACATGTCCCAGGTCTGGAGATAAGGAAACATCCTCAGTGGTAGATGTAAGGTACAGTTCCGGCGAGGCAGAAAAGGAAAGATGACCTCAACAGAAGTAGGTTACCTTTATTTAGGCAACGAGGGGCGACAGTCGGCCTAACGACCAGGCTGAGTGCCGAAAGGGATCAGGGAGCTTTCATACTTATAGGGAGGTTTGTGGAAGCGATAAGGGAAACGTCAATCAGGCAGGATATTTTGAGTATTCTTTTGTTGAGATGACACTTGTAGTTGGGCAGGGGGTGATAAGTCTTCTGGGCGGGTGTAGGGGGTGGTAGGTTTTCGGACAGGGGGTGATAGGTCCCAGATAGATGCAACTGGCCTGGAGCATCAGGATGGAACTAAAGATAAGCTTTGTTTTCTCTGAAGTTAGATGATTCAGCGAGGGGCCTTTGAGACTGCAGTTCTCTTTTCTAGGCCCAAAAGACTCCTTCAGGAGAGGCAACAGGCCAAAGAAAAATTTTATCATATACTGTATTTGTGGCAAGGCTGTGCCATCTTCATTTTTTAAAATTCATTTTAAAAATATTTATTTGGTTGCATTAGGTCTTAGTTACAGCATGTGGGTGGGACCTAGTTCCCTGACCAGGAATCAAACCCAGGTCCCCTGCACTGGGAGCATGAGTCTTAGCCACTGAACCACCAGGGAAGCCTGTATGCCATTTTAAAATGCTACCTTCCTTTCAAAATGAAGCAGTACAGCTAGTTTGGTGTGAAGCAAGAACGTGTAAGTAGATTAATGGAACAGAATAATATCTAGAAAATTTAAAAATGTTAAAATATTTGATGCCTTGGTGCTAGTGGAATAAACCTTTGAAGTTAATTTTAAGACAATTTTTCCTTTTTCTTTCTCTTCATCCCTACTTTTTCTTTCTAAAAAGTGATACTTTAACCACAAAAAAATACCCTTGCCCCAGTTTTTCTAATAATGTATGCTGCTTTACTTTCTCAACTGGAGGAACAAGTGCTTATTCATGTGTAATAAATGAACTGAGAGTTAAAACTGATAACTGAAAATCCACTTTTATAACAAAAATGAGATTGTATTGGTAAAATATTATCTGATAATTACAACCTTTTACAGTTTGACTTATGAATATACAAAAAGAGAATTTTATCAATTCACATGAGAAACTTGAAGGACACCATTAAAACTTTGATAAAGTTTGCTTAGAACTAATTCTTAGGCTAGAGTATCTACAAAATAGATTTGAACATACAATTCTTTTAAAAAATATTTATTTACTTGGCTGCACCAAGTCTTAGCTGCATGCAGGATCTTTAGTTTCACCATGAACCCTTAGTTGGAGTGGAAGTTATGGCATGTGGGATTTAGTTCCCTGACCAGAGATTGAATCCAATTCTCTGCCCTGGGAGTGCAGTCTTAGCTACTGGGCCACCAGAGAAGTCCCTGAATGTAAGATTCTTGAAAGAAGAACAGTCTTAAGAGATATCGGAGTGTTTGTTTGGTATTAAGTTAAAATGTTACTTTTAGGAGATTTAAGTGAATAGAAAGGGGTTGTTTTCTGCCTTAGCCAAGGAGGCAAGACCCACTTAAGACATTTAAGTGTAAACTCATGCTGAAATGTGAGATCTCTTGGATTAAGTATTGCTTCTACTGGTTCACAGTAGCAGGGGAACCTCAAAGAGAAGAGGAGAAAAGGTCACTGCAAGAAAATCCTAGGGTATAGCCTCCTGAGCACTGGGAGATGAGGATGAGCCCTGTGCCCCAGCCTGTCCTCTGGTCAGTGGATTTGAGAAGGGATCTGCCCCCCCCTCCACCCCCAGGGAACAGAGAGCAAGATCACGCATAGCACAGCCCCATCTGATGCCTCTGAACAGATTTTAGAAGAGGCCAAAAGTAATTTCAGAGTATGAGTAAGAGAGAAAGGCACGTTGTTTGTTTATTTTTAAATTCTGAAGAACTAGGAAAAGAGACCAGTTCATGACAGAAGAAAGATATAACAATGAAAATGATGGAAAGGTTCAGATTTTTTTTTTTCCCCAGAAAAATAGTAGGAGACTTCCTTCGAGGTGTGGCCTCTTTAAAATGAGGTTTGAAAAGCTTTATGGGACAACTGACTTTGAGTTTAAAAGAGAGGAGAGTAAGACAGGGGATGCCTTTTGGAAACTGAAATGACAATAGCAGGATCAAGTGCTCTCTGAAATTGCGGAGCATGGAATCCCAGATGGCGGACATGCCTGAGAAGATGCCCAAAGGGCAGAGAGAATATGAAAACAGGAGACAATCTGAGAGGAGATTACGGAAGCAGAGGATGGAGCAGCATGATTATCCATCCAGGTGGTGGGAATTATCCACCCTATGGAAAGGTGAACACACTCCTGGGAAAAGTCTAGAGCAAAAGGACCTGAAGCAATACTGAAAAATATGCTAGGAAACTTTTCTAAACTGGCTGAAAAGAAGTCTTTTATAATTATTTTAATTTCCTCTGGTCTTGGGCTATGTTCCTTTATCTCCATAGCTTTGAGTATGTGAGAAATGCAATTTAATAAAAGCTTTTTGATCATAGGTTAGTTAGTCTCACAGGTTAAAAATAACTTGTTGAATTTTAATTTACATTTCTCTAATCATATAAAGAAGTTATTTTCATGTGTTTAAAAATAATTTACATTTAGTTTCCCAGTAACTCTCTTGTCCTGTCTTCTATTGTGTTGTTTGCCTGTTAACCACTCAGTCCAGTCCCACTCTTTTAGACCCTTTGGACTGTAGCCCACCAGACTCCTCTGTCCATGGGATGGGTTCTCCCAGCAAGACCCTAGAGTGGGTTGCCCTTTCATTCTCCAGGAGATCTTCCTGACCCAGGCATTGAACCCAGGTCTTCCGCATTGCGGGGAGACTCTTTACCAACTGAGCCACCAGGGAAGCCTGTACTGTTTATCTCTTTTTAAAATAGCTCTTCGGGTGACAAGGGGCTGCAGTGCTCAGTTCATACACCCAGGAGTCTTCCAAGTCACCCCTCTCAGATAAGAAAAGGACACTACTGCAGAGAAATAGGAGCACAGAAGCACGAACCAACCCTAAGCGGTCCAAAGTCCCAGGTTCGCTCGGTGGGAAAAATGAAAGGCTATGACCCCGACGTGATTTGAACACGCAACCTTCTGATCTGGAGTCAGACGCGCTACCATTGCGCCACGGGGTCACAAAGGATACCTGAATTTTGATCCTTTAAGACTCCTCAGTCCCGCCCATCCAGGTTGCTTCTCGGACTAAACCCTTTGCTTTCCCGGTGAACTTCTGGTCAAACAGAAAAAGACCGAGAATTGGGCGGAGGACATGGCTGTGCGAGCTCCCAGGACTCCCTGCCCACCCAAGCCCAGGAGGGGAAGCAGCTGCAAAAATCCCAAGACCAGCCGGTGCGGGGGTGGGGTGAGTGCGGTACTGGGTTCCCGCCGCCGCTGAAAACCGTTAAAGAGGGGAACAAAACCGGAAATCGGCGGGCACAGCTGGGAGGTGACTTTGGAACTTGGCAAAAAATTAGATGCTCCTGTGTCCACCCATCGCCCCATCTCCCGTCATTTTTGAACATTACATAAGAGTGCAGTAACAATTAAAATCAATAATCCAAAAAAAAAAAAATCAATAATCCCACCACCTGCTGTAAAGCATTTTGATGTGTTTCTTTCCAGATTTCCAACCTACTCCAGTATTCTTGCCTGGAGAATTACATGGGCAGGGGAACCTGGCAGGATATATGGGGTTGCAAGAATCGGACGTGACTTAGCGACTAATCCACCACCACATACATGAGTGTCCACTTGTGTGTTAAACCTCCTTTGCTGTAAAGTACAGCAGTTACAGAAATTGGCAGAAAACAAAGAGAAAGATCGCAAACCGTTGCTCCCCCCAGACCTGCCAGCCACCCCAAGAGCTTGACATCTGCCTTCCGCCCCAACAAGCAATCGACCTGGATGTCTATGGAAAGGACTTCCTTGCTTCATAGTTTTATCACTCAGATGTGCATCAGTAAAAACTGATGGTGGTGTTCTGTCTGGGGCGCGTGTCACTTTTCATCCACCCCGTTCTCAGATCTCACATTTCTGTTGTCAGTGTGTCTTGTTACTAGAGAATGCTGACTTACATCAGTTAGTTAGGCTTTCCCTGGTGGTCCTCTGCTGTATGCTACTATTTCCCCCTTGGTAATTAATAAATATTTCGGGGATAAATGCTTTCAGGCTATGCAAGCTGTTTCTCTTCAAACTTGCACCAATTTTAGCACCCAGACTTGACTGCAACAACTATGACTGTGGTGTTTGTCTCATGGTCATTTTCTGTTTCCCCTTTTCTATATATGTTCATCAACATAATTCTTCTATGGGAAAGAAGTGGTACTTCTTGGGGTTTTCCTGGTGGCTGGTTAGTTAAGACTCTGCACTTCCACTGTAGGGGCCGCTGGTTCGATTCCTTGTTGGGGAACTAAGATCCCTCAGGACCGAAAAGTTGAAAACAAAAACAGAAGAAGTGGTACTTCTCTTCCATTTACTTAGGTATTACATATTCATTTATTTATCTGCAACAATACAGATTCATGGATATTTAAAAAATTTATAGTTTTAATCCATGTGTATTAGTTGCCCAGTCCTGTTTGACTCTTGGCGACCCCATGGACTGGGGCCCCCCAGGCTCCTCTGTCCATGGGATTTCCCAGGCAAATATACTGGAGTGGGTTGCCATTTATTCCCCCAGTGGATCTTCCCAACCTAGGGATTGAACCCAGGTCTCTTACATTGCAAGCAGATTCTTTACCATCTGAGCTACCAGGGAAACTCTTTAAATCCACAGAATATCATTTTTAATAATGTTTCTGAAAGTCTCCCAGCTTTGGATACAAGTCCTTCTGGTTGGTTCATGTGGCCTTTTGACATCTGCATCCTGTTTTCAGCACTTTTTTAGTTTCTGACACAAGATGTCCCAGGATTATTTTTTAGTTTCCCTGCATCAGGAATTAACCAGAAAACCATTTCTCCAAGGAGCTCTGGTTCATGTTTTTGGAGTATGGTTTTAAGAAATCAAGATCTGGTTGTTAGGTGTGCTCATTACAATGGGCTGTCACCCTCCTTTTCATTATTTGTAGCTTCTCTGACACTGAGAAACACAGCTCTCATTAGTCATAATATATGCACTTATTATACATATGCAAACATACACGTATGTGTTTCAGAATTACTAACCTATGCACCTGTAAGAAAAGATTTACTAAGAGGATTACCTTATATGTGTATGGCTTTTTGTTTTTGCCTTTAGCTTTACAGGCAAAATACTGTTTTGCAAAGTTATTTACATTAGTTCTTCTCTTCCCCAAGTCCTTCATGCCTAGTTATATTATTTATCTGTAGTACAGTTAGGTTGTTACTTTTATATTCCATTTCTGGTTCATGCAGGCACATACTCCCTGATTACTTTTAATTATTTTCTTTAAACTTTAGCATTTGTAAAATATTACCATAGTTCCAAGTGCCAGAGCTGTGTGAAAGGGTATATTAAAAACTGTGTCACTCTCTTGTCATCTCTATTACCCAGACTCATTGCCCTCTTCTTTCCAGCTCTTCACCAACTACAGCTGTAGGTAACTAATCTTTTCAGTTTCTGGTTGATCCTTCCTGCATTCTTTTGCACAAATGGGCAGGTATATGTTTATTCTATTACACCCTTTTCTTTCTTAGATAAAGGATAGCACACTATAATTATTATTTTGCCCTTTGCTTTTTTTTAGCTTAGCGAAAAGGAAATCACTCCACATCAGTTTGTTGAGATCTTTCTTTTCTTTCTTACAGCTACACAGTACTTTCTGGTGTGGATGCAAGCATAGCTTACTCAACCACCTTCCCATAGTTTTTGCATAATATTTCCAAGATTCATCCATGTTGCTGTATGTATCAACACTTCATTCTTTTTTAGTGCCTAATAATATTCCATTGCATAGATGTATCAAATTTTATCTATCAGACTGGTACAGTTAAAATCTACCAAAATACCAAATGGAGATTTTTTCAAATACAGGAGTAATCAGGTTCTCCCCTTTACCGGTTTTTAAAAAATTGTTGAAGGTTGTAGTAATCCATTTGTTTGTTTTTAGTCACCAAGGCGTGTCCAACTCTTTTGTGACCCCATGGACTGTAGCCCACCAGGCTCCTCTGTCCATGGAAGAGTACTGGAGGCAAGAGTACTGGAATGGATTGCCATTTCCTTCTCCAGGGACTGAACATGTCTCTTCTCCATTACAGGTGGATTCTTTGCTGCTGAGCCACCAGGGAAGCCCCATATAATAATTTACATCTGCTAATCCTAAACTCCCAATCCAACACTCCCCACTCCTCTCGCCCTTGGCAACCACAAGTCTGTTCTCAATGTCCGTCTGTTTCTGCTTAGTAATATGAATTTCAAATATTTTATCTTGCAGTTCTAAAATTTCCACTTGATTTCTGGCAGATTTTGTTTTGAAATATTCTATCCCAGATGTTTTAAAAATCAGTTATAACCCTCTTTCCTTCTAGCTTTCTAAACATATGAATCACAGCAGTTTTGACTGTTCACTCCAGGTCTGGATCATTTCTGTATTTGTTTCTATTCACTGTTCTGTTTATTATTGCTCACCAATTTCCCCCTCTGGTGAATGTTGATTTAACTTTTTTTTTCTGGACAATGTGGATGATGAACATAAACTTTAGAAGCTCTGGCCCGATTACACTAACTTCCTTCCCTTCTGCCTTGGAAAGCCATGAGCACTGGCCCCACAGAGAAATCACTGTGAGGAAGACAACAGCTTTCTCCTCAGGAGACTCGAGTCTAGAATCTGCTGTTGCACTGATCCTCTTATCACATTTCTGGATGTACCTGGGTCTCCTGGTGTATCTACTGCCTGGGGATGTGGAACGTCAGGATTTTCTATGGTGAAAATATCACCTAAAGTGACAGGGTGGTGCTCTGCTCACATGGTGGTTTCAGGGAAATCCCTGGTACAGAGGGGCTGGCAGGAGTTGAGAATTTTCTCTTGAAGATTGGGATCCTGCTCTCCTCAGTTATTTTGCTGTTCTCAAAAGCTCATTTCCTTCTTCTAGAGATTTCATGGGCTTCCCTAGTAGCTCAGCTGGTAAAGAATCTGCCTGCAATGCTGGAGATCCTGGGTTCAATTCCTGGGTTGGAAAGATCCCCTGGAGAAGGGAATGGCTACCCACTCCAGTATTCTTGCCTGGAGAATTCCATGGACTGTACAGAGATTTTACATGGAAAGAATTTTACATGGAGATTCCTTTTCCAATTTGTATGGGATGCAAAAATTCTCCAACTTGGTGAAGACAGTGTCAAAATAGCAATTATTAAAAAGGATGCAATTGCCCAGTATTGGCAAAGATATGGGGGCAGGAGGCACCCTCATATGTAACTGGTGAGAGTCAGGGCTTTTGGAAGGCATTTGGCATGTGTATCAAAAGGCCTTATTAATATGTGCACTTTGTCCCAGAAATTCCATTTTTATGACCCCATGGAAAACAGTTAAAGATATTTTCCTGTAGGGTTATTAAAATTGTTTGTAACAGTGAAGAATCAGCAGCAGTTTTAGCTGCTCTTTTCCAGAAGCAGAGTCTAGATTTTTGAAATATGAGAGGAAGGAGGAAGAATACCCCAGGTTGGGTTCCCCAGCTGACTCTTGAGTGGATCTTTGCGTGGAGAGTTTTGGGATCACAAGAGAAGGAAGCAGGACTGGGTAGAGAGAGGAGACGGCTGTTATGCAGACTCAGTGACCCCATGAAGAGCTCCAAGTTCACAACTGCCTCAGCGTTAAGTGGAAAGGCCAGATCTCTACTTCTGGGTCAACTAGTCGTTGGATGTGGGCTGTCCCAGGAACAGGTCTGCTTCAGGGGTGAGGTGACTCTCAACCTCAGGACTGCCTGCCAACAGCATGTCTAGGGTGTGTCCAGGGTGTGGAGAATAAACACTTCAGTTCTGAAAGTGGGGACTGGGCAGCCCACTGTTTCATCACTTGGATTCACTTCATATGACTTTTGGGAGAGGCAACACCAGGATTCTGGAGGGTCTGTTTTCCTGGAAGAAGGGGGATGAACTACAGTCTCCTCTCCTCCTGCTGCTGGTCTTAAGATTGTAATTTATATTCACTGTTGCCTCCTCAACCTCAGCCAGCACCTG